CCCCCCCCCCCCTTTTTAACTTTAGTTTCTGTGTTCTTAACTTTAATTCATTCTAAATTTATACAACTGGGGAGTTGTATAAATCTCTCAACATGTTTGCCCACATTAGGTATTACATTGATTTATTTTCTCTGGGAATCTTCTGGTCTGCCCTAATCTGGATTAGTTGTACTCTAGGCTTGAAGCGATACTGTCTGCTTGAGAGGTTCCTTCACCCTTCTCATGAGTTGGACTCTTCAGGTCTTGGAACTCGTCATCTTCTTTCATGGTTTACCACCCTTGTTTTGGTAGAGCACATCTTCTAATAACTCTCTGAGAGACAACATATGGAAAGCAAAATTATTTGAGATTTTGTTTATTTAAAAATGCCTTTATTATACATTACAATTGATTTGTAATCTCTCCTGGTATGGAATGATTTTCCCTCAAAGTTTTTCCCATTTTTTTTCTAGCTGCTTGTGTTGCTATTAAAAAGGGCGATGTCCTTTAGATTCCAGATTCTTTTTATGAAATCTGTTTCCTCTCAGGCAGTTTCTAAGGTGTTATGTTTATCTCTTCAATATTCAGAAACTTCACTAAAATATGTATGCCTTTTTTGGGGTCTATTTTCATCATTTTTTGCTGGATACTATCTTTGTGTCCTTCAGTTTGGGCTATTTTTCTTGAATTTTCTTACGTGTTTTCTATTCTTTTCTCTGGAACTCCTATTCATATATTGAATCTCCTGGACTTGAATCTTTTAAAATATTGTCTTCTGTTTTCCATTTGTCTTTTTATTCTACTTATTCTGATATTTCTCCAGACTTACACTTTTCTAATTCCTCATAGGATTAAACAAATTTATATATATATATAAATATATATTTGGTACTTAATTAACATAGTGCCTGGCATATAGTAAGTTCTTGTGTTGGTTGTAGTTGTTGTTAGTTTCTTAACTATTTATTTTGAGGGAGAAGTCTTTGGTCTTGATGCTTTGATTTATTAACTGTATGGCCTTGTAATTTTTTTGATACCTACTTCCTTCATCTGTAAAATGTGAATAAGCTCTACCTCAGATGTTTATGAGCATCAAATGAGAATATATATGTGAAAATGCTTAATAAACTTTGTACAGAGTTTAGTTACTACTTACATCTTTTAAATATCAAAAGTTTTTAGTTTGAAAGAAAATTATGGCTTTCAGGGTTATTTTTAAGATTATTTGATTACATGTGATTATTTCTCGAAAATCTATATGAGCTAGGTAACTTTAGCGAAATGCTAATGCTACCCTTTAAAGAAGTTATTTCTTAATACTCATCCTCACTATGTTAGGCTGAAGAGAGAAGATTATGAAAATATTCAACCTATGAAAAGCTATGGCTTTACTTCAGATTGTATAAATCTGTGTAATGTAATAATTATTTAAGAATGATCTGATTACTAGTTTTAACCCATGGAAGGAATATTTATTGGAGTTTATTTTTCTTAAATGGTACTTGAGATTAGGAAAAATAGAATCTGTCTTCTGGGTTTTCTCAATAGTATTAATGTAATTTCAAATGTTAGCTCATTTTTGTTAATGGTGGCTTTTTGTTTGTTTGTTTTGTTTTAAGGTTTTTGGATTCAAAGCATAAAAACCATTACAAGATATACAATCTGTAAGTATGTTTTCTTATTTGTATGCTTCCAAATACTTCTAAAATAACTATTTAAAGTGAAAGTTATTTCCTTGTTAGAATGAGGTAGAGTTACAGATATATTTGAACAGAATGTATTCTTAAAGCCCTCAGTTCAAGAAGTCTGATTGAAAGCATTGTTAGGTTATTTAGAAAGTGTAGTGATGAGGTAAAACAATGTTGGCACAGATTTATGTTACTTGATGTGCTTTAAATGACTTGGCATCTAGCCCATAACCCTGTAGTAACTTGAAGTGTAAAACACAGCAGAGCTTCTGTTGAAGCATTATTGACATCTTCCATAGAGGTATGTTCCACAGTGAATATAATTTTATTCTGTTTCTCTAGGTCAGTTGATTGAACAGCTTTTTGGGTGTTCTTTAACTGTATAAAACATAAATAAATTACTGAAAATTATTGAATTGAGCCATTTCCTTTGAGGCAGGGATATAAAGATTGCCCAGTTGATATAGCTAGCTGACCTTATCTTTAACCTTCTTTTTTTTTCTTTTGACTTTGTAATTAGAGATGTGAAAAGGAAAAAGGGAACAAAAAGAAAAATGGAAAGAAAATATTTAACCATTTCTGCCCTTGAAGACTATTTTTCTTTTCCCAAATATGACCATTTTCTGTTTTTTAAACAATGGTTTTATAAAATGTGTTATTTTTCTCCTTGGCTTTTATTTTTCCTATGTGATATATATAAATTATGCAACAGGAAAATTTTAAATCTAAATTTATTTATACTAATTCACTGTTAGAGTTTCTGTAGAGTTTATTTATCAAATGTAAGAACAAGGTTCTTTTCTACCTTCAATGGGCATTTAAATCTATACCAAGAAATATGAAAGATTCTCTGTGTCTGTTGGTTTGTGAGATGTTGCTTTTTTGCCTTTAATTTAGTGATCTTTCTGTGCTGATAAGACCTGAGAGTGAAGTAGACACCATACTGTTTCTCTTAGTGAGTTTTCATTAATTTCTTCAGATTCTCAAAGAGCCTTTATCGCGTACTTGCCACACTAGACATTATAAAACATGTTGTTGGTCCAGAGGTGAGGTGAATAAGACGTAGTTCTAGCCTTTATATAATTTATAGTGTAATGTGAAAGGCAAATAATGTATTATGGAAGAGAGAACTCTTGTACAGAAGAGGCCTGTATAGAAAACAGTGGAAGTAGTAATTGTACTCCAAAGAGAAGATGTCACAATAAAAGGATGTTTGAGCTGGAATGAAAAGAATCAGTAGAGGTTGACCCGCAGGCCTAGTAGGGAAGGGGAAATGGCATTGCAGGCAGAGAGAATGGCATGTAAGAAACTTGTTGGCATAATATGGCAGATGATTCATTCTGGTTAGAGAGAGAGAGAGAGAATGTGTGTGTGTGTGTGTGTGTGCGTGTGTGTGTCTGGCCTGTGGTAGAAGTAGAGGACAAGATGAAAGAAAGTAAAAGGTGCTATAGAAACAAGTTTAGGTGGGCCCCAGCTTACAGTTGATCTGTACATGTATCATCCTCTTTTCCTGGTTTACTTTTCCAATAACAATCCTTGTTTCAGGTGCCAGAGGGTTTCCGTGGAGGAAAATAAAGACCACAAAGCTTTGTACTTTTTAAACAACTGGATTTTAGAAGTTAAGTTCAAAAAGAAAGAAAAAACGGGCAAGAACTGTCAAAAGCTGGAGTCCATTAAATGAGACACTTCAGGCTTAGACCTTCAGGATTGGGCATTTAGTGTGTCCCAGAAGGAAGGTAGAAAGATAGATACTAAAGATAAATCTGCCTCTTTCAAATTTTTATTCGAGTTTAACATATTCAGAGATAGGAAAGGAAATTCTTTTCATTCCTGTATGCAGTGGCTTCCTGCTTCCACAATTTAGGACTTAGGCTTGTACTGTGAGTATTGTGGTTCACTTATGTTATTATGGTTAAAGTTGGCATTGGGGACTTGACTGCCTGTTTGTTTTTGTATTTCCAAACATTGGACTCCCAAGTTAATGAACTGTCTTGTTATTAGTTGAGAGTAGCTTTTGGTGCATATAGTTTAACTCCCTTCCTCCATTCCACTTAATGGAATCATAGACTTTCAGAACTAGAAAATACCTGAAAGAGATCATTTAGTCCAACCTTCTTATTTTACAATGGGGAATCTGAGGCCTAGAGAAGTTAAGTGAGTTGAACAAGGTCACACGGATACATAGGTCACACATATGGTCTGGTAGCATACCATCCACTGTTGATGCCAGTATTCCCTTTCTGAGTTATTTTGTTTGTTTTTAACCTTCCCAAATTTTACTTACTTCATAAGTTTGTAGAACTCTCCAGTTGTAGCATGTTTTGATTTCTGATGTTACTTTTCAGTCCTCACCTGCTTTCTACCCCTGTTTTTATTTCTGGCTCTGGGTGAGTCTGGCAAGCAGAGGATGTTCCTATTTTATTTTTAGGATATTAATTACATGTGATATATATCTTTACAAACATATATAAATTGAAAGATATTAAAATATTTGTACTAGACATACCTGTATTTAATAGTATATTAAGCTTTTTATGGCACTTAAGACATGGATGAAGAAGAGTTCTTATAGTATAAACAGACTGTATCTGTTTGTACATCTATTAGGCATTCAACAAGTTATTTTAAGAAAGGACAAGATTAACCTGTCAATAACAAATTTGGGTATACTGCTATTTAGTAAATTAATTCTTCGTGCAAATGTGGATGTTTTATTTTTGTATGTTCTGTATAATCTACTCTGGTGGGAGTAAGGGGAGGAGTGGGGGGAAATAGGGAATAAAAACATAGCATAGCTCTTGCCTTTGAGGAACTTAAATGTTTACTGGATACTGCATTTTATTGTATATTCTGTTTGACATACAACTCTCCATTATTTTGTGGTAAGCACTTAGCTGTTGTTAATTTTTATCGATTAAGTTTTCTTTTGTAAGATAGGGGTAGCTTTATTGGAGAGAGGGAAGAGGAGACCTGCATGCATAGTCGATTCCCTGTCGTCTCACTTCAGTGGTAGCTCTTCCTGTTAATCTTGCCCCTTTCTTCACTTTCTGTCTGCTTCATAAAAACTCTCCTTCAGTGCCCTTCATTTCTCTTGTCTCATAGAAGTCAGTATGAGGTGATGATAAGAAAATCTCTTTTTTTTTAAAAAATATATCTTTATTATTTCAGAGAGAGCAAAGGAGAGGGAGAGAGAGAGAGAGAAACATCAATGATGAGACAGTTATTGATTGGCTGTCTCCTGCACACCCCCCGACTGGGGATTGAGCCCGCAACCCGGGCATGTGCCTTGACTGGGAATCGAACCCCCATCGCCTGGATCCTAGGTCGATGCTCAACCACTGAGCAACACCCGGCCGGGTGATAAGAATCTTTTGAGTTGAGTTTTAATTATAAAAATGATTAATTTTAAACCCTTGTCTTAGTCAAATCCCATTTGCTTTATTTTTATGTATCTTCAATTTTGGTTTGTTGAGAGACTTAAGAACATATTGCAGAAAATTTACAAGGAACTGTGTGTGTTTTGTGGGTGTGCGTGCAGTATCGGACTTTTGTAATCAGAGGCACTGAGCTTGAGTTCTGGCTCTGCCATTTCCATATTGTGGTTTGGGGCAAGTTTTTTTAGTGTGCTTCTAAATCTTAGCTTTTTCATATGAACTGGAGATAATATTAACTGTTATATGGTTATGAGGGTGAATCAAGAAACCTGGAAACTCCTTTATAAGGTGTGTGCATCCAGTAGACATTTAGTAGCTCATTATTTCTACTTTCCCTCCCTTTCTCCTGATAGTAATATTTGAGAATCAGCTTATGAAGATAGTCTTATGTACTCTTGGTCAAAGCAAACGTTTTGAGCTTTTAAGAAAGCATGGGAATTTTAGGGAACTGAATCTGCATGAAACTCAAAATGTTTATTTTTTTGTTGTGCTATCATGAGAACAGCTTCTGAGAATTGTTTTCTAGCCTTACCTCCTAAACCCTATCTTTACATGATTCTTTAAAAAAGATTTCATTATGGATTCTTCACTGTTGACCATGTTGCTTCTTTACTCTGTACCAAAGAAAGTGTAAAATGTGAGTTTTCATTCTGAGCTCTATTCTTTCGACCTGTCATGTTTTTTAATATGTGTGAGTGTGAAATTATTTAGCAAGGATACATATATGTGCATATGTCATTACTGAATAAGTTTTCTAGCAAAACTCAATATACTAACTTAGGCTAAAATGGAAAAGCTTTGTTTTGAGCATTAATATGAAAGTTTATTTCAGGTCTGACCAGTTAGAAACTAGCGAATTGTAGTTGGTTTATAACTAGTTAATGGGTTTAAAACTGTTTAAAGTAGAGGAACTATACAGATATTTTCAGGATTACTAAACATAAAATATAGGTCCACAATCGCTCATTTGAAACTCTTGGGGCCAGTTGTGTTTCGGCATTCAGAATATTTTCGGTTTTCAGAAAGGTAACATGGAAGCGTATATGTTATCATAACACACCCCCAGTGGGTTTTGGAACAGCACCTAGAATGAAACTTTTGACTCTTCACTGTAAATGTATTAATCAAGGAAAACATACAATGTCAAATTCAGATCAGGTTCTGCTGTGATTAAATTTGCCATAAATTTAAGAAAAAAATATTAGACCTTTCAAACTTTGGGAATTTTAGAATTATGGATTAAAGGATGGGGGACCTTTATTTGTTTTAAAATGCTAAGTTTGTATTTTAAATAATTTTTAAAAAATATGTTTTGGTTACCAACTGAGGTTACCAGGATGCTGCTGATCACAAACTAATATATGGAATCCCTTTCTGAGTCTATTGATGTTTATAAACATTGCCTATTAATCATGAGTAAGCCAGTGCATGATGACAAACGTGTCACTACTATTAAAAAGACAAATTTTAGTGTGCCCTACAGTAGTACTAAGTCAACATTTTACTATTCTGTATTGATTTTACTTATTACTATTTCTTTAGTCTAACACTTTAATTAAAATTTGTAACTGGAGAGGGTATTGAAAAAGATGACCTTTGGCTCATCTAAAGAGAGAAATATCTGGCTTAAAATATGTTTAGTAAGTGTTGTATCTGAGTAGATTCACATCATTTAGTTTCTTTACTTTTCCTTTGCACTTACAATTTTACTATTTTTAACATATTTTATTTATTTATTTTTAAAACATATCTTTATTGATTTCAGAGATAGGAAAGGAGGGGGAGAGAGATAGAAATATCAATGATGAGAGAGTCATTGATTGGCTGCCTAGCCCGCAACCCGGGCATGTGCCCTGACCAGGAATTGAACCCTGATCTCCTGGATCCTAGGTCAATGCTCAACCGCTGAGCCACGCCCGGCCGGGCTTTAACGTATTTTAAAATAATAGTTTAAGAAAACTGTGAACACTCAACTGTGAAGTAAAGATGGTATTAAAGGTAGTTATTAAACTCCATTAGCATGCAAAATTTCCATAAAGGAAACTTGAAGGTATAGATGTAGCTGAATTTGCAATCTTTTATATCAATGACATCACAAGTTTTATAAGCAAATGTATAAGCTCTAATTACATCCACTTAACATTTTAAGGCTCAGTTTCCTTAACTGTAAAATGGAGATAATAGAACCTACTTCACAGGATTAAAAGAAATAGTTGCTATAAAACACTTAACATAATGCCTGGTACATTACAAAGGTTCAGAAAATGTTACTGTTTTACTTTTTTCTCAATTGTAAACGATAACTTTATATCACATTTAAACTTCTCTTTTAGATGTGCTGAAAGACATTATGATACGGCCAAATTTAACTGCAGAGGTAGGTAGAAATGTACTGTATTATGTTAAATAAAACCAGTAGACTAAATCTTACTGTCATAGCAATAATGAATAATCTCAGTTATTAAGTGAGATATACATGTGTCTTAAAGATGATCTTAGAAAATTTGAAAAATATAATTTTGATGTTGTGTTTTAGGAAACAAGCACCATGTGAGCCTGCCAGAAATATTAGGAAAACTAAATTGCAGAATGGACTAAAAATTAGGAGAAATTTCTAAACTAGCAATAGAATTAGGTGGGGGTTATATTTACTTTTTTGAGGCATTTGGTGTAATAGTAAGAGATTATACTGAGAAAGCAGAACAACTTAACTCTATCAAGGAGCATGATCTAAAAGGTGGAAAGGGTATAACAAATATGGATAAGGGGAACCTGATAGGGAACTGCTTTAAATGAGTTATTCTTCAGGTATAGTCAATTCTATCTCAGCCCACAAAAACTTCCATTTATATTTGTGGAACTCCTTGAGTCCTGAGAGAACTGGAGAGTTGAGAAGTTTGGCAGATGCTGTTAAGAGAAAGTGAGTGCCATGATTAATGTACTTGCCATTGATGCCTCCTGAAATCTAGAATGAACTTTCAAACACTTGGCTTGAGAATTCAGAAGCACTAATAATGGTGAGAGTTAATGTAATCACTAAGAATTTTTTTTTTTTTTTTTTTTGGTGAATTTAGGCCACTGCATTCTAGTTATAGTGTGTTTCAGTCAAGGTTTATCTAGCTTTAAATAGACGTTTAACAGGTTTTCCTAGATGTTTTTGTGTGCCACTGGGGAAGTGAAGATAGAATGATAGTAGTTGGGCACATGACTAAGAGGAAGATGTCCTGATGTAATGGTAGTTGTTGCCTACCAGAAGAGCACTCCTATCACAACAGAGGACTTAATCAATTTTATCCTATGCCACATTATAACTTGACTGAAGATATGACATAATTTTTACATATTTAGATGACACAAGATAATTAGGTACATTAGATGCCAGAACTTTTAAGGATCTTAATAGAGTGGAGCCAAGGCAGAGACCAAAAAGATAAAATTTAATAGTGATATATTCAAAGTCTTATTTGCAGACAAATTTTAAAATACTCTACTCTGACTGGAGGTACAGAGTAGTTTTGGGTTCTTAATAAGTCATGTGAAAAGACCTGAAAGTTCATTTGATAAACTTTACTACAATTGTATACTTTTCATAAGTAGTATTTTCAGTTTAGTTTGTAAATGCCTTTCAAGTCAAGTGTATATATACAACAGTAACATTTACAAGAAATAACACATTTAGCATTTTTATTATATGAAGTTTAAAATGCAATCCTGTCTATTGTTGATTTGTTAATCTTTCTTTTGAATATGTTTTGTAGTGATGCAATATTACAAGTATTATTTTTCCTTTTATTAAAAAATTAATTCAGAGTCCTGACAAGATGCTCATGTGACATTTCATTTTGAGTTCATCCCCACCTCTGATACATTGTGACCTATGCTGCCTCTCCATAGCAAAGTCTCCTCCTCCATAAAGTGAGGAAAATAATACTTGGCCTCCCTGTCTAATGGATAAGTTTAAGAGTTAATGAGAGACTGTTGCTGTTCAAAAATTAGAAAATTATCAGGCCATAAATTATTTTTTTCTCTGGAGTTCAGTTTTTCTTTTAAACGTCAGTTGAGCTTATATACAACATTTCTAAAGATAAGTTACTTTTAATAAACAATTCAGAAGAGATTTTTCTCTTATTCTGAGGTTATCTTTTTACCACAGTTGCACAGTATCCTTTTGAAGACCATAATCCACCACAGCTAGAACTTATCAAACCCTTTTGTGAAGATCTTGACCAATGGCTAAGTGAAGACGACAATCATGTTGCAGCAATTCACTGTAAAGCTGGAAAGGGACGAACTGGTGTAATGATTTGTGCATATTTGTTACATCGGGGCAAATTTTTAAAGGCACAAGAGGCCCTAGATTTCTATGGGGAAGTAAGGACCAGAGACAAAAAGGTAAGTTATATTTGATGTTTTTCTTTTCTTCTTCCTAGATCTGAGAATTTATTGGAAAACAGATTTTTAAAAAGAAAGTTGATAATCTTATATTTTTAGCCTAAATATTTAAATCAGTTACTACCTTAACTTTTATGTGAACAAATGACTGAATGAATTTTCCTGTTCATGCAGGCATTTTTGTGTCATGCTAGCATATCTTACCCTTGAACTGTATTGCATATTTAGTCTCAGAATACTTACAAAGCATTTAAAAAAGCAGCACATTGATAAAAAGTAAGCTTGATATTTCTGAAGCTTGATTGAGAATAAAATGTGTTTGGATAATAACTTGGGTGCCATTACCTAGTCAAGTATGATCTTTACTTTTATATTATTTAAAGATTATTTTTTGATATGAATATTAATATAAGTTAAGATTAGTCAGAGTTTCTTTTATTCAGAAGACTAAAGACTATGTTGAATATCAGTGACAAATTTAATTTGTGTAATGCATTTGAAAGCAAAAAGTGAACCTTTGAGAAAACTTTTACAGTGATTTTCAAGAGATTTATTTCTTTGGATGGTAATTATGGCAAAACATGTTTACATTTCTTACAAAGAAATTTTGTGCATTTCTCTGTCTCCGAGAAGAAAAAACCCAAACTGCTCTATGATAGATGGGAAAACTCATTTTAAATATATCTTTATTGATTTCAGAGAGAGGAAAGGAGAGGGAGAGAGAGATAGAAACATCAATGATGAAAGAGTCATCGATCAAGCCCGCAACTGGGCATGTGCCCTGACCGGGAATCGAACCCTGATCGCCTGGATCCCAGGTCGACGCTTAGCCGCTGAGCCATGCCCGGCCGGGCGGAAAAACTCATTTTAAAGAGCTCTACTGAGGGAGACATCATAACTTAAGTGAAAAATTTATTGTAGTTTTAATAATTTTTATAATCAGGGAGACTCTCTTCTAGTTTAAGCTAATTTCTTTTTAATTCATCTTCAAAACAAGCACAAGTGATCATATCTATTATTTTCAACTGGATAGTTACATTGATTCCTGATTCCTTTATTCCTTCCTCATTCTTGTTGCGTGTCTTTGTGACTTTTTTGAATTATATCTAATAATGCCAAAGTACTGTTTATTGGTGGTATTTTTAAAAATTGAATCTCATATTCTCATATTAGTGCATGATTTTGGTGAATGTTAATCATGATAGATTGACTTAAATTTTTGTATATGGTTTGTACCCTGGTTGATAGCACTGGAATGAATTCCAGA